ATATATATATATATATATTATAAATAATTATGAAGGGAAGGAAAAGTAGAGAAAAATGATAAAAATATATTTTAAGTTCTTAATTTTCAGTTAAAATTTAATTTAATTTTCATACGCTCCAATTTTTTCTTTCTCATTTGTAAATTGTGTACCAGACAAATTGTCTTTTTCAAGTAATTAAGTTGAATACTCTCTCGCCCAAACCCTTCCTCCATTGGTGGGAGGAGAGAAGGAAAGCATCGGAAACGGACAACTTTTAAAGAAAGAAATTAATACATTTTATTAAATAAAAAAAAATGCTTGAGAGGAGAAAGGAGAGAAAACAGAAATTTGATTTTTTAAAAATAAAATTACCAAAGTATCCTTACATTACAAGAAATTTTATATGTTGTAACATAAAAAAATGTTAATATAAATATAATATATGCATATATAAATTAATTTGATATATATATACAAAATTTTAGTATTAATTTTGCATGAGATTCAACAACATATATTATATATTACTATAAGTTATACATATACTTTTTAACAATATATCAATATATATTGTATCTATAGCGTAAATAAAAATAATTTTTAATAATAAATAATATATTACTATAAGTTATGTACATTACTATATTACAATTTTTTTAAGCATCATTAATTATTATTTAACTTTTTTTTTTCTAAATACCTTGGTGCATGTTATTAATATAGGTAGAATAAATTTAAAATTGAGTAATGGTAGTAAATTCACACTCACGGACTCGCAACATAGGTGGGGAATTACTTTTTGTTATACAAAATTTATGTTTATATATGAAAGTGATTATACTTTTTCCTATTCATAATTGTTAGATTGTTTTATCTTTATAAATTATAATCACTTCTAATTCACTTATTTTTATTTTCTTTATCTAAATCATTCTCACTTCTTTATAAATTATATACGATTTTTATGTGATTTTTATTAATTATTAAATCACTTAATAATTTTTAATTAAATATGAATTTTGTTAATTCAACCGTTGAATTATAATTTTATATCACCTTGTATGTTTATATTATTGCCTTCACGACGATTATGGAGAAACTTTCTGATGTTAGAGAAACCAAGTCAATAGTCAAATCACTAGCTTCACATGAACTGCACCTACACGCTCCACACAAAATTATTTTTCCATGATGTCTAGTTCTCCTACGCATGGTTGACTTGAGAATCTTCCTTCAATATTGGATCAATTCCTGGAGATGATTCGGTTGCTGTAATGCAATTTTTAATCCAGGAATCATCAAAATTGTTAGCCTGGAAAATCTTGCTCAACTCAGCAACACCATCAACACCAGTCTCTTCTTCATAGTACTTGAGAAACGCCCCAACAAGCTCTGGTGAAGGACGCCATTCATCACCCTTGACTTCTGATAGTGCCGCCTCTAAGTGCCTCACAGCACCATCCAACTGACGCTTCTCCAAGAAAAACATCATGAACGTTTCCCTTATCCTAAGTAAAGGCTGTTTGCTCCTCCTACTAGCCCCCTCAAACACCAATGCAGCTTCTTCCACCATGTCCTGGTTCAAGTAAGCACTAACACAAACACTAACTAACCTCACGTCATAACTAGCACAACTAGACTCCCACTCCTTAAAGCATCTTGTTATGCCCTCCACATCTTTAAGCCTTCGGAGGGTACTAAGCATGATAAGATAGCTGACATTGGTCACAGGGGAGACAGACTTGAGGGAGTTCCACACCCTATGAACCTCTCCAAGATTACCAATCCCTGCATAGAGGCCAAGCAAGCAATGGTACGCGTCACGCTGTCGCGGCCTCACTTGTTTCTCCATCATCTTAAGCATCATCTCAGCCTTCTCAAAGTCCTTAGCCTTTGTATAAATAGCAGCAAGGTTGCTGTAAGTCTGCCAACCAATTTGGTTTCCATCTTCCCTTTTCATCTCCTCATAGACACTCTCCACCGCGCCAAGATCGTTCAAAGCAGCGCAGCTGTTCATCCAGACATGATATGTGAATGCTGACAAGGGAATGTTCCTGTGCTTCATATCACGCACCAGCTGAGGGACCTTCATGGGTTGACCAAGTCTCATGAACATACCCATGAGATTGTTGAAAGCCAGAGAAGTTACATAACCCAATTCATCCATTTTATCAAAATGACCTAAAGCCTTGTCGGTCATTAGTTCCTTGCAATAACAGTTCAAGAGAGCACCGTAGGTATACTTATTCTTGGCTGGAGGGGGAAGACCGCTGAAAAA